GATAAATAAATTATCAGTATCAGTACCGTATGTTTTTTTTTTTTTTTTAAAGAAGCTGATATAACGATAATAATAATAAAAACAGGTAGAAGAGATACGAGAATTTATGAAAACGGAAAATCCCACGAAAATATCAATGAATATAGACAAATAAACAATTTAGATTGATTTACAATGTGTTATGTGTATGTTATGTGTATGTTTATAATTTTTAAACTTTTTTAATGATTCAAAACAAAAATGTTATATGTAAACAAATTTCATAACGACATATGAAATATTAAGCTATTGTTTATAAAAAAATTTCATCCTTCGTTTCTGATTTATCTATCTGCAAATAAAAAGATTATTGCTTCTTATTGTATTCATTATTCATATCAAAATTTGTTTAATCGCAGTAATTATTGTGTCCTCGTGATAATAATATTATTATTCTCAATATATTGAATCGAATATTTTAGTCGATTTTCAATTTTCATAAACAAATCATTTATATATAATTCCTGTAGAATCATTTCTCTCTTTAAACCGGAATATATCTACTAATAAAAAAATTTCACAGAAATATAAATCATTTCCTTGTGTCTTCGATAATTTTTCATAATCAATAAATCAAAATACTTAACTTACGAATCTAAATGAATGGACGTATATTGATTTCTATTAATGAATCTCATTAATATCAATCAATGATTCCATGATTGTTAACTTGTCAATTATTAAGAAAAATTGGTGACTGATTTCAGGTATGATATGCACCTCGTTCTTCTGGGGATTCATGACTGACACATTTGGCCGTAAGAAGATAATGTTTTACGGTTACATGTTCACCGGTATCATGAGCCTGGTGACATGTTTCTCACATACCGCATGGCTTTTAATTCTGTTCAAGTTTTTCGACGGAGTAATGTAAGTTGATAGAACGATCGGTATAACAATGAAAACTTGAATCGTTGCGTTCGATATCTATATTAACGTTATCAAGTACATTACTTTATATGTATATACTGTGAGCTGTTGAACTGACGAATGAAAAAAAAATTTTAAACTCACGTATGATTTGGAAAAAAAAAGATTGTCATGTATTAATTTAAATGTATTACGTATATATATAATTATAGCAATGTAAATTATATCGAGATATTTGTGATTATGATTAATAAAAATTCGTATATCATTGTTTTACACATTGATGTGTAACGAGATCAGAGATTTCAATTTTCAAAATTCCTCAAATATTAAATTTCTTTTAATATCAGCATTTCCGGCCCATACGCAGCGTTGATGTCCTATTTGGCGGAAGTACATAACGATGCTCAACGATCTCGAACATATATGTGGTTAGGAGTGTTTTTCTCACTTGGAAATATTTCTCTGCCGTGTGAGTATCATTTTATTATATTTACGTATCTTTGCGTATTATTTTTATCTAAAGTTGAGTGATTTATTCAAATTACGATTGTATTTAATATTACACAATTTATTTACTACAATTATTTTTTCTAATCATATAAATTACCTAATCATATAAATTAGATAAATATAAAATAAATTTTCTTTGATTTCACTTTCTTTTTTTCATAAAATTTTAATGTTATAAAATTTTTTTTAAAACGAATGTTGTTGCATCCTTAAATAATGGAAAATTTGGAATGCATAAATCATTTTTCTCTATGAAAATTAGTAAAATTCAATTGAGAATTTATTATATTCTTAAAATTACGTTATACTTTTCAATCGTGAATGAAAAGAAATGTATATTTTATGTTTCAGGTATCGCATGGTTGATCATACCCCAGAAATGGATTATTAACCTAGGAAACGGGGATATAGAGATCAATTCATGGCGTGTGTTTTTAGCGATTTGCTCGTTGCCAGAATTTCTTGCCTGCATAGCCATCTTCGCGTTCCCCGAAAGCCCTCGTTTTCTTTTATTGAAAGGCAAAACAGATGAGGCTCTCGAGGTTTTTAAAAAGATATATTCCGTGAACACCGGCAAGGATCCAAGCACATATCCAGTAAGCAATTTTGGCAACGTGATCAGTGATATTTCTTATATTTTTCGAGACAGTTTTGAATCTTTTGAATTTTTTAGAATTGAATATTTTTTTTGCTTCGATTTGTTTTATCGTGGAATAATTATATTATGATTTAAATTAATCTTCGTATATACGAGTGATGTTGCAGTTTTTTAAAAAAAGAATTTTAATTTTTTATTAATTGTTTTCCCAGCTATACACGATTTGGTTGGAAAATTTTAAAAAATATGGACAATTTAATTTCAGAAATTTTTCATTAATATTCGCGTGAAAGATTTATCAAAGGAAGGTGATATTCGTTCCAGATAAAAGATCTTGAGGAAGAGTATTCCGTTGAATGTTCGAGTGACGATATACGGGACAAGTTGCGAGCCTGCTGGCAACAGATCAAACCCCTCTTTCTGCCACCAAACATCTTCAAACTTATCGTGATAAGTTTAATTCAATTGGGCGCCACGATAGGGTTAGAATTAACGAATATTCCTTCAAATATATTCTCAACATTGTTGATTTTATTAAATAAAATTTGCGTAAAAATTTTTAACGTATTATTTAAAGACTTTTAATAATATTTAATAATATTTCGAATAGTCTTAATCTCTCATAATAATTTTAATGAATCAATGACAAATTATTAAATTTTTAGGTCAAACTCGATTAGATTATGGATGCCACAATTGTTTACTATGATGGAACATTTCAAAAGTGATTACACGACACACGAATATTCGAGCTCTCAGCCACGTTTCTGTTATATGTTAGGCCAACGGCAATCGAATTATAGTTCCTCGTTAAGTTTCGTAAATGAAACTTTAAACGTTGCTCACACATGCATACCGGTATTAAAATAATTATCTTTATATATATTTAATTTCTTACGTGCATAACTATATTCATTTTTTAGATTCTAGAAAAAAAGAAACAAATACAAAAGTTGAGATTTATTTATCAAGTTATAAACAATTTACATTTGATGAAGATTGTCTCCATCTTCATTCAAAAAATAAATTACTTGTAGCTTAATAAATAAATCACAATCAATATTTTCGTATGTCAATTTTTGTATTTGTTTTAATCTCTACAATCAATTGTTTAATATTCATTATTATTAAAATTTAAATTTTTCTCACATTATACATCGTATTATTATTACATTTATAATTTATGCATTTTATTTTAGGCGGAATTAAATTCAAAAGTGTTCATTAATTCTATCGTGATTGCGATTACCGGTGTTATTGGATACACTTTGGCAGGATCATTGATTACTGTAATAGGAAAGAAGAAGCTTATAGGTTAGTTAATCTATCCAAATTTTCTTTAATCTAGACTTAATTTTCGTGAAATTAATATAATATTAATTTTTATCTTTTTCAGCAAGTTGTTTCATGGTAGCAGCCAGTTGCTGCACGTCACTCTATTGGGCTGAAAACAGCAATAGTATACTCGGTTTGTGCTCTGTATTCGTAGCAATGTCGAGTATAGGTGGTGCTTGCGTCGTAAACATTGTTGCTGATAATTTTCCTACGTGTTTAAGGTGTAAAAATGTTTTATTCTCTATAAATGTTTCTTCCATATTCTATTATATCATATTTCTAACTATTTTAATGTTTTTTTTTTTCAGAACTATGGCAATTAGTTTCTCCATGATGATCGGCAGAATAGGAGCTGTTACAGGCAATTTATTGTTCCCGGTGTTATTCAACTTAACTTGTCTGGGTCCTTTCTTTATGATTGCCTCTGTTTCCCTAGGTAATATTATCTTTTTTATAAATCCTTTCCTATAAATAATGAAATATCATGATATGATCATGATAAATTAATTCTTTTTTTATTTAATTGAAATTTTTATTATTTCTTATCACTTCTTTCATTTCGTAGTATCGGCATTGTTGGTAACTATTCTTCCCAAGAAGCATTCGCAAAAGAATAAATCAAAGCAGATTGCTTGACGACAATACGAATGGATAAAATATAATCAGCTAATAATAGCTGAAAATACGGTTTGTAAATATATATATCTTGTCCTTGATTGAATGTATAATTTCAATGCATGATTTTTCATCATGTAAATATGTAAATACATTACTATTACATTCATGTAGCATAAGATATCTTCATCATATTATAAGTGTAATTCAAATAATTTGCAAATCGAATGCATGATCTAAGTGAGATTTTTAAAATAAGTCTCGTGGTTGTATAGCATGAAATAATTTTAAAATAATTCTCGTCATTTTTAACGATTTGTCAGTCTGTGAATTAGATTATAATTGCAATGTTTTTCTAAAACAATTTAATTAAAGGAAACATTATTGTTATATAATAAAAATATATTTTCTTATTGTTTTAGAAATAATTTCTATAAATTGACCTTTTCGTTTCATATAATTTTGTCTACATAATTTTTAATAAATTTTTGTTTCGGTATAAATAATATTTATTACTAATATACAATTATAAATCTTAATATTTATGCAATACAGAAACAAAACATTGGATGGAATAAACTTTGTTAAGATTTTTAACCAATAGATTAAATAAAGAAGATAAAAAAATTAATCAGATATCGCAGCCGGATATGATTATTAATCGGATATCAGTGTTTTGGCGCATAAATTTTGTAAAGCAAGTATAATAAATAAGGATAGCAAATAGTAGGAAAAAGAAAGAGATAGGATAAAAATTATGGAATCAGCGCCATCTTCAGAGTGCCGTAGATGAAACATATATAGATAAAGAAAGCAAATAATACGAGAAAGATAGAAATAAGATCAGAATTAGCCACTATCGCCGTCTGGATTGAATATCAAAAATATCATTCCATATTCAAAAGAGGGCGCTGTTAATTAATTCTTATATCTATCCTTTACTTATTATTTGCTTTCTTTGTTTTTATTAATATTCTAAAGATGGCGTTAAATTGATTTTATAATTTTTAATATTTTTATGACAGCATGTATGTCGCGATATCAAATTCAATGCCATGACAATGTGATATTTAATTTTCATATCGATAAAAATCATGACATTTAATGTCATGATTATAAAAGCAATTATAAGAGAAGTCATGAATTTATTTTTGTTAAAAATTTCCAGCATTCGTTAGTAGATGTCTCTGTGGTGCGTTGTCAATCATTCGCAATATGGTTACCCGCGTCCACGTGATTATCTAACCTATTTTAATTGTTTATATTCTAATTGTTTATAATAAAAGCAATAATTGTGTATTGTTCTATTATTATAAATAAGAATCACTAATGAAAAAATGACAACTGATGAGAAGATAATTAGTGCAGAAGATATATTGAATAATAAATCAGATATTTCAGACACAAATACAAAAGATTCAGATAGTATCAATAAATCTAAAAAAGTAAAAACCAAGAAAGAAAAGTCATTAGAGGAACAAATTCCTAAAGGAAAACCAAAATCTGGTAGGATATGGAAAGAACAAAAGAAAAGGTTTGTAAAAAAAAAAAATAAAATATATTCAGTAATGTTAAGTTTATTTTGTGTTATATTTATAAATAGGTTTTCTTCTATTGTTAAAACACGTGGTATACGATTGTCTTTTGATAAAAAACAAAAATTGAAGGAAGATCTAAAACATGTTAAAGAAATGTCACGGGAAATAAAAGCAAAAAAGCAAGCGGAAAAGGAAGCAAAAAAAGAAAGGAGAAGAGCCAATTTAAAACGTGCTGCAGAGAATCAGAGGAAGAGTGAAATTGTACAAGTTGTAAGTATTTTTGATTAAATTAAATATTTTATTATGTATTTGTATTACAAATATGAAAAACATATAAAAAAAATAATTTATGTAATGTTAAAATTAATATTATAGTATTCAGGTCTGTGCATATCGAGTCATATGATATATATTATTATAAAATATATAAATGAAGAAGAAATCAGTATAGATGATAATTATTATTATAAATGCCCCATTATAATAAAGTTAGGATAATTAAGTTAGGATATATTATCATTGTAATTTCAATCATCTAAGGATTGTTTTATTTTTTGTTTTATTTTATTTTCGCATTCAGTGGATTCAAATGTCTCTATAGATAGGAATAGAAATCATATTATTAATTAACTGATATTAATTCATCCATTATATCAGTTTTATATCAGTCACTATGATTTATTCATAGAAACAATAAATATATAGCGATCGTATATTGACGTTATGCATATATGAATATGCATCAATATAGCAATAACAAAAAATTTTTTATTTTAATATCACGAAAAATATAAATTTTCGGCAATAATCTATGTTATAATTATTATAATCTTTCAGGCATAAATTAAATTAAATTATCATTATATACTATCCAATTCGTTGAATTAAGGAGCCGCGATTAATACTATAACATTGCTGTATATAAGATTAAGTTATTTAATTGTTAAAGTTAGTTAAATTTGGTTTAAATATATTTTGATCGTCGTAATGATCATTATGTTAATGCCGAATTTAGATATTTTAACCCAAAATATTTTCCAATAATATATCATACAATCTAATAAGCATAGACCCAAATACTATGATACATTCAAATTGAAATTGAAACTGAATTTAATTATAAATTATTTTATTTTATAGATCACAAATACTGCAAAATTGAAAAAAATTAAGAAGAAACATCTCAGAATGATACAAAAAAGAGATACGCTCAATTTTTAGAAATATTAAGCATTTGCATTTCTAAAATAATTTGTGATTTTATAATTAAAATGTGTGAAGTATGTATTGTAAATAAAAAAAAAAAAAAAAGAATAGTTTAAACATATATAAAATATATATATATAATTTTCAATAATACAATTTATGATCTATTTAAATTTCAGCATATAATTGATTCTTGAATATTAAAATAAAATATTTTCTTAAAAATATAATTTTTAATATATATAAAAAAGTTTTTAAAGATAACGCACTATTTTTGAATATCACGTTTTCTAAATTAAAACATTTTATTCTTTATTTTCTCTTGCCTTTTGTTTTTCCACAAAATTTTTAAGATTTCTTTTTAAATCATATTCATTTTGTTTGATCCACTGTAAATTCGAGAATAGAAATTTCATTAATAATTTTCTCGATTATTAAAACAATACGAAATCAATGTTAAAAAATTTACCATTGATTTGACCCATTTTGGAAGATTCTCCTTGTTTTGCGGCACCAGGAATCTAAGAGATTAATAAATCACGTTGAATATTTGTAATAAAATGTCTCCATTTACATGTTATTAAATCAATACGAACCTTTCATCTACCAACAATACTGCTCCCCAATCATGAATGTGTCTCAAGCAACGTCCTAATGCTTGATTCAAAGCTCTGTAAGCTTGAATAGAATACCATTCTGAACCTCTCAATAATCCTTTCGAAACATTCATATCGTTGTACGTCATTTTCATATCAATTACAGGATCCTTTCTTACTGCATATGGAATTCCAACCTGAGAAACAACATTATTCATGATTTTTTTATGATTTTTAAGTGATATTAAATCATATTTAAATCATATTGTGGAAACTCACAGTTATTACGCAACGAGCTTCGTTATCCCTAAAATCAATTCCTTCTGCTACTTTTCCCCTGAAAACTGCCAAGAATAGAGCTCCAGTGATTGTTCCTCTTGGTTCAGTCGAAGTATACTCTATCACTTCACGGTATTCGTTCATAATATCAGTAAGTCCGCCTCCATGACGAGGTTCTATGAAAACAGTTTTAACACTTGTAATTTTATTCCAAATAGAATTTTGTCTCCATCTCTCCATTTGTATGTTCATTACGTTGTAGGAAGAGAAAAAACAGAGGATTCCATGAGGTATCGACTCGCAAACATCTAGTAACACTTGGCCCAATTCATCCTATAAGAAGAAAATCTCAAAATATCAAAGATCTCAAATAAAAAGATACTATTTTTAAATAATCAAAAGCATTCCTCGAAAGTTATATTTTTATTTGGAATTTTGTTTTTAATTTCACGTTAAACAATCCTCTACAACCCTTAGATCCCACTTGGACATTTGGATTTTTAATTAGAAGCTTACCTGAAATTGCCAAGTATTCACAATTTGGTAATTAGCTTTTAGCAGTATCCCATTTGGTCCTTTTGGTATACAGGTCGCATAAACTTGTTCCTTAGGTATCACGTGTCCAGTGTTTAGCACGTGCGTGAATGACGTTCCTAATTCACTTTGGAATGACGTGGTTGGCGTCAGGGTGCCGGACGCGAGTATTATACAGCGAGCATTTAGAGCGAGCGGTGAAAAGGCCACGCCAGGATTCATGCACACTAATTTCAAGGTTCGTACACGTTGTTCACATTTCTTTACCGACATCCACGCGTTTTCACTTACCTAGAATTTCAAATATGATAAAAGATAATGTTTAGAATTTTTTTTTGAGAATATAATTTATTTTAAGATAATTGGATCTATCATTTAAAAGGTAAGATAAAATTTGTTAAGTAATTTTTTAAGTAATTATTGAAAATAAATAATATTTAATTTTTTTTATTAATTCTCGACTCACGTACATGTTTGAAATCTTTTACTGTGTTCTCAATCACGCATGCCCTATAATCATTTTTGTATTCCTTAGAAGTGATCATTCTTATAGTGTACATTAGATTTTCAATTGTCATTTTGGTGCTAGATGATATGATTGGCTTCAATATTGATTTGTACATTCTATTGTCTTCTTTTGCTTTATTTAAATCCGAAATCGCTTTATTGCAGGCCATCAGAAACGTAGAAAGGACAGTCTCGTTTAAACCTTTCATATTAAATAATTGTACTAGTTCTACACCAGTCCAATATTTACTTGAACGATTTTCATTATTGTAATCCTATTAAAAGGATATATATTATATTAGATATAAATTAATTACAATAGATTAACGAGAAGATAGAAATTGTTATATTTCTATAACAATAGCATAGGATTAGAGTTTAGTAGAATTTAAAGTAATAGATTTTAAAAAAATTATATGTAAAGTAGCTTCGATTTAATTTAATTAAACTATCATATTTCTATCACACTCAGTAGTTTTTTTTTTAGAATATATTTTCTGATTAATTTTAAAAAATTTAGTTTAACAAATAATTTTTTAATTAAATAAAAAAATACTTACGACTTTGTCAAGACTCATGTCTTTTAAAAATGCCACCAATTCGAGAAGAAACGTTTTGAGAGTATCATAAGTCGCGAAATCTTCAGCCCTCTGTTTCGCAAGAGTTTCACATTCATGTGCAGTAGCTTGGAGATGATCCTCGCGAAAAGCAACACTAGAAACATCTCTAGAAATATCTTCTATATTATGAGCTTCATCCAA